GTTTCAGATACCTGGCTTAAGCTTTCAGGAGGAAGGAGAACATATAGGTCAAACTGATTAAACCCAGGGTGGTCTGAGGGAGTTGCCACCATTGTCCTTTAATCCAATATTCCCAGAATTTACCACTCCACCTCAAGTGAATACCCCGGGCAGTTCCTCTCCAGAACCTCCCTGCTTAATTCCAGTAAACCTGTCCTTGTTCGTCCTCTGAGGAAGTTTTACTGCCTCAGTTCTAGGGGGAAATTTGGTTGTACATGGATATCAGGAGCTCATGTTCTAATATTAAACATAACTGAATAATCAAATAAGGAGCAGTTCTCACACTTTTAAAGTTTTATGAGGCCTGTAAGCCTTTTGGTCCCCAACAGTCGGGTCCCCTCAGAGCAAACCTCCTTCCAAGACTAAGACTCAATGGGAATACATGCTCTGATTGGTGACCACATTCATCACGAATAAGTGGAAGTGAGGGAAAAACAGTAGTGAAGCTGCGAACTAAGCCCTACCGTGTTCAATAGACTCCTGTGAACCCGGGTGGAGACCTAGTTGACCAACAGTGTTGCAAGAATTGGGGACTTTTGGGCCCAGAGTCAGTGACATAGCCACAGAGGACTAGAGTGGAGAGTGAGGCATGCAGCTGATAAAAAGAAAGGGCATATCCACAAGAACACCCACATTTGCAGATAATACCCACTTGATCTGGCTTCAATGACTGGATCAGAACTCAGCTAGAAGAAGAAAGATGGGGGAAAAAAAGTAATCTGATACAATTTGATGAACTTGACCTACACCTATGGATGCAGTCACTCAAAAGAGGGAACAAATCTTTACAGCAAGGATCATTCCCAGCCCCTCCATACACAGAGTAGACAGGGATATGCAACTTGGACATTGGTTCCCCAAAATGGGGGCACGGGGGTGGGGGGTGGGTGCTACAAAGGCAAGAAGTGACTGGCTTACAAGCTTTCAAGAGGGAACCTTTCAAGAGGGAACCTAGATCCAGAGGTCATGGAGGAAGGTAGAATCAGTCTGTCTGGGCGGGCTGATGAAAGGAAATGCAGATACGTCTCTTGTGATACAATAGTGAATAATTGTTATCGGGACTGATTGTGAGGGTTGTAAATGTACAGGTAGACATTTTTGTAGCAAGGATGGGAGTGATTAACTTTGCAGTCTAGGAGCAGAGGTCCCTGGGACCTTGAAGGGAAAAGAACGGAGAGCGGGACCCTAACCAGAGAAGCAGTGATGCCTGAGATGGGGGCAGAGAGGATGACATGGAGAGACAGAGTGGCTGGAGACTTTAGACCCAGAGAAAGAGAGCGGCTGTGTGCTGATGACCACGTGGGTAGGGGGCAGGCTTGCAGGGTGTACCCTTTGGTTGGTTGATGATGCATGGAGGGGATCGTAACCATGGCAATGATATATGATAGGATGAATGCAAAACTAATGTTCTCCCATGTAAACTATCACGTAATTCACAATAGAACATTTTTAAAAAGAAGAGTAACTAAGGACTAGTGTCCCAGAGATTCTTAGAGGAAGTGGTTTTGAGTTTTACTCCACATTTCCCTTCCACTCTATTCAGGCCCTTCTATGTGATCTTCTCAGAGCAGTTGGGAGTGGTAGCTGGGCACTGTCTAGTTCTTCACATCTCAGGATTGTGGAGGCTAATGTTTGCATGGCCCGTTAGTCCACTGGTCTCATTCTTTCCATTAAATAGCAATTTTAATACAATATTTGATTGTGTATGTATACCTGAAAGCAGTTGACTTTACTGTAATTTTTTAGTTCCTCAGGTAATGATAAAATGACTACTGATAGAATTATAAATAGATTTTTACTGTAAATTGCTTAACTTTTATCTAATAGAAATGACTTGGATATTCTGTGCAGTAGCACATGCAGAATGTTATATGGGTACGACAGTCTATATAGTAAATGCCTTGTAAGGTAATATAAAATTCATTAAGTATGTAAGAATGACATAAGAATTAACATAATAATGTCAGAAGCCAAAAACTATCTTAGTTTATTTAAGCAGTTTTAACACTATTTTTGGAGTCCTGCTGTGGCACTGTAGGATCAACACTGAACTACTAACTACAAGGGTGCAGCCGCTCCTCAGAAACCCTATACAGGGTCGCTGTCAGTCAGAACTGACTTGACAGCACTTAACAAAAATACTATTTTCAGGAGTCTGTGGGTGGAGTCATGGTGTGGCGCTGTGGGTTAATGCACTGGACTACAAAGTCACTTTAATCTGCATGGTCAGCAGTTCAAGCTCACCAGTTGCTCTTTTTAATCCCTATATAGGGTTGCTATGGGTCAGAATCAACTCGACAGCACTTAACAACAACAACAACATGCTAATTGATGTTTGGTTTCTTCAAAGTCTTATTGAGGAAAACATTAGTATTTTATTTTGCATCTAAGCTGTTATGATACTAAGATTAAGGCAAATAATTCAGACACTTAATAAAGATAGTGATATTCAGATTTTATTACTTCTTCAGTTATAATAACTTAAAGTTTGAATTTTTGTATCTTTTCAGAGCACAGGTGTACTTCTGTCTTACTGTCATGTATAAATCTGTTAGCCAAGATGGTAGTGATATAAGAGAAGAGGGAAGAGGGTGAAGATTAGAAGACTGTTCATCTGATCGTCAGTTCATTTCTGGTCTGAGGGGGTGGCAGTGGGGAAAGATCGCCCTACATCAGCCTCATTTATAAATGAGGGGTTTCCCTCCTTGTAGTCTAGGATGTAACTATTCCTCCAGGTCCTCTAGAAGTATCTTCAGCCTGCCTCCCCCAACCACATTCATGCTCCCTTTTCTCTTATTTACTTATTCTGATTAGGCCTCTTGTTTCTATAACAGCCTTAAAGTATAAAGACAAAAACATACTTTTATTATTTTGCCCATAACATGCCCATGTAATTAATGAGCACATACACATAATACACTTAGCAATCATAAGAAACTGTGAGGGACCTTCAAGGTCTGAAAGACCCATATAATGCATAAAAATATGGGACTTACTGCTTTTAAAACCAAATCTGGCCCAATAACTGGGGAGCCTTAAAGCATTACCTCATATCCTTCCTAATAAACACTGGAGACGAGATATTTTCGGATCATAGCCCCATACAGTATTAACTATTTCTAAATAGAAAAGGTGCATGTAGTTCTGTGTTCCTCCAGCAGTACAGTAGGTATCTGATGATCTTTTGGATGAGGCATGTTTTACTTCCTTGGTTTAAGGTTCACCCAGAGGCTCAAGCTTGAACTTAAAGGCATTAAAGACACATGTGAACACATGATTGATTCATTTCTATGTTCCATGACCACAGTCTGCACCCTCAAGTTTAGGCAAGTCACATTCACCAAGGGAACCAAGTCCTAGAGTAATGATGGGTCAGCACATATCTGTCAATCAATGTACAGGTTAAAAACCAGTGCACATGTTCACTGGAAGCATCAGCTACAGAAACATGAATTCATACACATTAATAAACAAAAGGCACTAGCAAATTTGAACCAACTCTAATGACTCAATTTGGAGCCACAAGTCATTTAAAATTCTTTGGTGTGTTCCACAACCTTAGCCTCTTTGTCATTCTGCAACAGCTTCTCTAGGACCTTGAAAATTCAATCAAAGAATCCCCCACCACTCTTCAATCATTTTATCCTCAAGGCCAGTCTCTAGGAATCTATTGCTGCATTCTTCCCAGCGGGTGACCTCCCCATTCTCAACCACCACAAACTTCCACTGCACCACTGTATTGGCAGGCAGGGAAACAGAATGCGACCAAAACCCATCCTTGTCATACTGCAGTGGGATATAAGCCTTCCATCTCCCAAGACTCTCATGGTCTCCAGTTACTGCAATGAATTGCTCACCAGTGCCTGTGATATAGTGAATCTGGAACCTGACACTAACTTGCTGAGACTCTGGAAACCTTGCTATCCTTTTTGTTCTCACTTCTACTTCCTGTCCTCTTGTTTCCTCACGAACATCTCTGCCATAGTCCAATCCTTGACTTGGGCTTAACAGGAGAGCCTCAAGACTATCACCCACACCAACATCTCCCCAAGATGAATGTCTGGACACCATTTCCCAGTCATCCTGGTCAGCCAGTTCTGAACTGTCCGAATGTGGGAGACTCACTTCTTTAGTTCTGTCCATTAGCAGGTTGCTAGAAAGCAACTTCTCTGCAAAACATGTAGCTGCCTTAGCAGGCATCTGTTGTCCTTTTTGGACTCCCCATTCTCCTATAGGATCATTTTTTGAAACTTCAATATAACCTTTAGAGTGACCAGTTGCCAAGGTAGTTAGAGATTGTGTGTCTAGAGACTGTCCAGAAAGAACATGCTCTTGTGAACTGTCACCATCACTGTCTCCTCCAGAAGAACTCTTCAGTCTCCATGCTGCTTCCTGCAGGTCACCTAGGTTACCAAGGCCTTTGGTCTCTGAAATCAAGCATCCATTGCTTTCTTGAAGGTGCTCTAAGAAACAAAAGAAAACCTTAATAGTGTTAGGTCTTGTAGAGTTCTGAGAAAATAGACTTTGTATCTGTAGTTCATAAAATTTCTCTCTTAAAATCAAGCACTCGATTATCTAGTGTTTTCCCCACACTGTACTCTAAAAATATACACGGCTTTTCCATAATAAAAGGTCCACCTAGGAGTTTATGTGACCGGGTGTAAAGGAAGGGGTAAATCGTAGGGGCATAAGGACAGCCTTGTTATGGTCCTCAATTCCAGCAGTTCATGCCACACTGGCATGTAACCAAAGCCAATTTGCTTGGCTCTGATCATCCAAAGTGTTGACCAGCCTGTGGGTCAAAGGGCTGCGTGGTCACCCTACAAAAGAGTACACTTGTACCTCCAGGAACAAATGCAGGTCATTTCTTGCCTCGTGCTGGCAGATTAACAGCAGCTGCCATTATATGGCAATACAAAGGACAGCAGTGGGTTGGGGAATAGGCCAAAAGTAGGGTTGGGGGATAGGGCTGGTTTCTCCTTGGCAATCCCACATGCATCAGCAATTTCTAACAAACTGTAAGGCCTTTTGAATGCCTTCCCACTAAGGTCCCTAAAGGCACTGCTTCCTTCTTGGTCAATAACAGCTCCTTAAAGTTCAAACTCTCCCAAACCGTACAATCAACACAGGTGAGATTGGTTTGGTTTGGGGGGTGGGGTGGTATAAGTCTGGTTTCTTTGTAATAGTCGGTTTGGAAGAGAGATATGAATAAATGTTACTTTGAATTCCTAGTTTTTTCAGTCTAAAACATGAGGCTAGGCTTCAAAAAAAAAAGATCAACGAGCTCTGGGTTCATCTCAAAACTAATCGCACTAAAGGCACACGTGAACACCACCCCACTAAAAATAAAGTTTACCGAAGTCATTTTCATCATCAGGCTGGAATCCAGTATGAGGAGCTTGCCAAGGGAGGGAGGGCTCCGGAAAGCAAGGTTTTTTTTTTTGCCAGTGCTCACTCTTTCCCTAGTGTGTAAAGTCTAAAATTACAGGTTTAAACCAAATGTCCATTCTACTCATCAGAGTTGGGGTTCCATTAAGTACCGAAATAAACAGACACTCGCCTTCCCCAGGCACTATAATGGATTGCTCATGCTGTTGGGAGTGTGGACAGGGCCTCTCGGTTAGAGTCTAAAGATCTGGAAGGGAGATCAGCACACAGCACACAGTCCCACGGCTTCAGCCGTGGCCTTCTTGGCCAAACTCCAATCTGAACTTTGCCTTCCTGTCAGAAGCGTCCAGATAGCTCACAACTCGGCAATTACTAAACCCAGCCCTTCTTAGGGAGTGAGTGATGGACTGGGACCGAGAAAGTGTCCCTGCTCATCCCGAGGTTGAAGAAGCTCTGCTCTCCGAAGGCTTGGGAAGGGGCATCGCAGCTGCACCAAGCGCAGTCAGATGAAGGGGTAAGGGCAGGTCTTCAGGCGCTAGCACCCGGAGGAGAAACTCAATGGGGCACGGACCTTGGAGGACTTCGCAGGGCATCTCCACGGCCTCCCTGGGAGACCAAGAAGCCTGATCTGCGCGTGCGCACCAGCCTGGGCCATTGGGGGCAAACGGAAAGGGTCTTGCCCCTTGAAGGGGAAGCCAGTCCGTTAGGAAGGCTTGCGGTGGATTTCCCCACCCCCTTCCTGGTGAACTTCAGAACCCCGTGGTAGTGCGACCCTCGAGACATGGTAAGAAAGAATACCTGATGGTTTGGTGATCTGTTCCTGCCCGGGACTCGATTTCCCTCCGCCATCCTGCTCGCCTCCGGAAGAACCGCTCCATAACAGCCAAGTGAAAAGCGCCCCGGCCAGACTGCCTCCGACCAGCAGGGCGGACCACACGGCGCCCATGGCTGAGAGGCTGCAGTTTCAGACGGCGACAGCGACCGCGACGAGAGCTCAGGTCACGCAGAGCCACACCTACCCCTCCGGCTCCAGCCTTTTACGGTCCCTGCCGACGGGCGCTCCAACGCAGAGCCCAGCCCTCCGCAACGAAAACTCAACTTTCCCAGCTCCGCCCCATCCTCTGCCAGGGCCGCAGCCCCGAACTCTAGTCCCAGCCTCGACTAGAGCGCCCTTTTCTTTCAACACTTTTCATTCGGGGTTCCGCCTATCTCGAGCGCGACGGTAGCCGGTTCAAAGTGAGTCCCGCGTGCGTAAAGCGCCCAAGTGCGCACAGGTACCGGGCGCAAACCCGGTCCCGCCCCAGGGTCCTTCTAGCGCCTGCCCAACCTCCTCTCACTGACGCTGTGGTAAAGCGACCAGCCGGGGGCCAAGGGCTTCCAGGAACTTGGACTCTGGAGAAGCCGATTTGCGTCAGTGACGCTCGAGGCTGGGGCTGGATTGGAGAGGTAGCGTGGCTCGATGGGGTGGGGTAAACTGGGAAGCCTGCGGACACAAGGACCGGAAACTCGATACTGAAAGGTTGGTTCCGGAGATCAGTTCATTGAATTTAACCTTCCCAAGCTTCTTATTGGTAAAGTGAAAGGGCTTGAATAAGGACCCATCCACCTAGAAATGAGAATCATCTCAACCACATCCAGTCGTTATTTCTTCTTTGACCTCTTTCCCGGGTGTATTGTAGCAGTAAAATGCGCACCCTCATGCCTAGATGTTGTCCTGGGGCAGGCTCTTGTTTAGTGCCGTTGAGTCGTTTCCGGCTCATAGCGACCCTGTATGGGGTTTCCGAAGAGCGACTGGTGGGTTTGAACCTTCAATCTTACGGTTAGCAGTCTAGTGCTTATTCTGTATCTGGGGCAGGCTCTTACAGATGAGTTTATGAATAAAAGCAGCAACCCTTTGTTAGTGCTTGTACCACTTAAGTCCCTGGGTGGCGCAAAGGGTTAAGTGGTGGACTACTAGCCGGAAAGTTGGCTGTGTGAACCCACCTGAGGTGCTTCTTAAAGATCACAGCCTAGGACACCCTATGTTGTTAATTGTCGTCGAGTTGGTTCCGACTCATAGCGACACTGTATAGGATTTCCTGCAGCACCACACCAGAACACCCAGTAGTTGTTGAGTGCCACCGAGTCGATTTTGACTCACAGTATACGGTTCCTGTAAATCTTTACAGGAGTAGAAAGCCTCATCTTTCTCCCATGGATCAACTGGTAGATTTAAACTGCAAACCTTGTGGTTCGCAGCCCAGCTCGTAATCCACTATCAATTCTATACACATGGGATCACCATGAGGCAGAATCAAATCATTAGCAACAACAAGGTGCCAGGTGCTTTAGGTATTTGATTTGATTGTCATAAAAACCTGCAAGCTAGGAATTATACACATTGTTTTCTCAGCTCGTGCCTCTGCCAATCACCTCCTGATGCAGTTCCTGTTCTCTCACCTCTGCACTCCCATATGCAGCTGTTGAAGCCAAACTGGCAAATACTCACCTTGAAATAATCACCAAAATGCCTCCCTCTGGCAGGACAAGTCATTAAAACTGGTCCAATGATCTGAGCAGTGGGTAGTCACTGACCCATCAGGCTCAACCATTGGAGGTATAGGGGTGCTGTATGAATTGCAGTTCCCTTGGGTACACTGGTGCTGGTCTCAATCCTTATAGTCATAAGGAGAGTCCTAGGAGTGACATACCAAAAACCAAACCTGCAGTCCTCCAGTCAGCTCTGATTCATGGTTATCCCAGGTGTGTCAAAATAAAACTCTGTTCCATAGGGTTTTCAATGTTTGGTTGTGTTTTGGAAGCAGATCACCAGGCCTTCTTCAACGGTACCTCTGGGTAGACACAAATCTGCATCCTTTCAAGGCAGCCAAAGATGTTCAAGGAAAGCAAAGAATGTAGGAAATGGAGAAGAGGTCACCAAGAGAAAGTGACATCTCCCTCATCAGTTGTGTTGACTTTAGTGACAGGTCTCCTGTGTTGCTCCCTTCATTGTCATTTCCAGTGCCCTCGCCTCATTCAAAACCAACCTGTCCAAAAACGACAACTGCATCCCAGTTCATCTCTGTGCCTCTGGGTACAGACAACTATTACTAATTTAAAATACAGTCCTGAGCATTGTATTTCTTCTGCTAACAGATTAAATTCAACCCTCATCTTAGCCTCCACTGTCTCCTGTAACACAACCTCAACCACTCACCATTTGCTTGCACTTCAGCCAAACTGGATCCTTTACCCCATGATCAAAATACTACTAAAAGCCACTTGTTTCCCTTAAACTTTTCCCCAGTCCAGTCCTAAGTACCATTCCCCAGTACCTATCCTTTACAATGAAATGAGTAGTCTTTTCTTTGTGCTCTGAATACATATTGTAATTGCCCAACTTTCTTTGGGCAAAACATAAGGTTTGTTATTTTTGTAGTTTATTCCCACATGAGATCATAAATTCCTGGAGGGCCAGAACTTGTTCTCCATATAATCCAGCATCTGGAATGATCCCAACCAACCTGTCATCTGATAGTCCTCTTCTTTTTCTTTTTTCTTTTTTTTTTTATTATTTAACTGTGTTTATTGAATAATATATGCTGACAGGAAAAAGATAAGGTTTTATGCTCTTGTAAAGATTTAGCACCTCGGAAACCCTATATAGGGTCACTATGAGTTGAAGTCAACTCCAGAGCACACAACAACAACAACAGTATATGCTGGCATTAGGCTAAAGTGCTTCATAAGGTTTATTAGCACTGTAGGATAAGCACTAGCCTGCTAAATTCAAGGTTGGCAGTTCAAACCCACCAGCTGTTCCTCAGAAACCCTATAAGAGTCACTATGAATCAGAACTGACTATGGCACTGAGAACAGCAGCAACAGCATCTCATATAAGGCCCTGAGAGTATGTATGCTTACAGCCATACAGATAATACATGATACAGCTAGGATTTGAAGCTAATGTTCTGACTCAAGACCCATGCTCAGAATCTCTGTTGTTTTTTTTGCTACCCTCTGTACAACAGAATGAAACACCACCCAGTCCTGCACCATCCTCACAATTGCTGCTATGCTTGAAACCATTGCTGCTGTCACTGTGCCAACCTACACTAATCTCCAATATTATTATTATTATTATCGCTACACTAAATTCCACTCTTATTAAGCCATATCCAAATTTCAAAGCATACATTTTAGGAATCAGGCGTAAATCTTAATATGTAATACCAGAGAACCTTGCCAGGAATATTCTAACATTTATGGTAAATTCAGACTTGCTCCTGGTTTGTAACTCCTCTTATTACAAGCCTGCACCTCCTTAGAGAAATGTACTTATCCCCACCAGCACCTGTCTGCTGCTGTCAAACCTCTGGCTCCTGTTACTCCACATAACATTAGCCACAAATAAAACCTTTCTGCAAAACCATCACAGGGATAGCTGCCCAGGGTCAGATTTCACAGAGACATTTTCTTACTGCAACTCCGTTCGGATCTCTGACTCATCTTAGTTCCAGAATAGACTCAAAACCAAAATCCTTTATGCTGAATGATGAAACCTTTTGAAAAGGAAAATCAGCTCAGTATAGAGAGAAAAATAAAATAGATCCCATGTGGAATAAAGTTATAAATGTCAATGGTAAAACTATAATAAAATCCAGGAGATGACATTGTGATACTGCATAAACCAGAAGACAAAAAACAAAAATTTGATACCTTCACAATAAGGCAGTTTGGTCAGGGAAGAATGCCGTAAACAACGTTAGCAGATAGGCCCAGACTGGGAGAAGACACAGACTAATATCTAGATATAGAGTGAACTCTTAGAAATTGATAAGAAAAAGACATGAGTCCATGAAATCGAACATAAACATGCACAAGGGATGGCACATGATAGGCACAACATTTTTGGTTGAATGAATGACTAGCAAAAACACAAAGAAATGTTCAAACTCACTACTAATCAGATGAATACAAATAGAAACATTCCTATTGTTGTTGGGTGCCATCCAGTCAGTAACTGACTCATAGTGACCTTATGCATAACAGAATAAAACACTACCCAGTCCTGTACCAACCTCAATTGTTGCTACACTTGAGCCCAATGCTGCTGCCACTGTGCCAGTCCATCTAGTTGGGGATCTCCCTCTTTTTAGCTGATCCTCCACTTTACAAAACACGATGTCCTTCTCTA